TGTGCTTTCACAGCACAAGACGGCAATTGATGTTATCCTTGCTTGAATAAGATGAACAAAGCTTGCAACATGTACATGTATAGCATAATCAATTTATAATTAAATTTTTATCATTATGAGGCATCTGAAGTGGCGTGGTGTTTGGGGAATTCGCCAGGGGTTGGAAGCGTATAGGTGGAGCCAGCAAAGCCTTTCGGTTGTATCCATCCATGGAGCCCGCAAGGACTTGATATTTGTAAAAAACTTATTGAACAAGAAAGCCCACTCATCATCAATCGTCCACCAATCGCCAATCGCCGATCATAGACTACTCTCATCCTCCAACAACTCGTTTCCAAACGGAGCCGCATACAGCTGGACGTGCAAGAAACTTCGCACATCCCGAGCGACGGGGCGATCCCAAGCCTCGCGCAGCCACATGCGCTTCATCAAACTGCACCCCATTTGTTCACAGCGACCAAGCAAGCATGAGATGACCCTGCCTTTTTTGCCCTCCACATGGAAATCCTGCCCCTGCCTTGTCTCTTCTTCCGGGGGTGGCTGGTCTATTCCCTCCAACCTTGCCAGTTCGGTAAATCCGCGAGCGTCGTCGACGGGCAGCCGGTTCCCCGCCATCAGTGACTCCATGATGTGCTGCAAGGAAAGACTTCCGTATGGCGTCCGGCCATCGTGTACAATCTACTCATAGATGAATAAAAGTAAAGCACCGGCAACAGATACGAGTATTCACGGGCGTCGAGCACACAAACCCCTTTGGCAAAGAACGCCGCAACCATCGCGAGATTCATACCTCCCAAAAGACCACCCCCAGTGACCAAATGTCCGAGGCCGTGGAAAAGGCGCCGCGTGCCAACGCTTCCGGTGCCATCCAACTACAACAAAAACAAGAGTGTCAAGAGCAATACATTTGACTAACATGTAAATGTCACCAAGACATCCATCGTTTCAAAAGGAACCTTGGGTCAACATCGGGTCCACGTACCGGAAAGGCATATCATCTAGCTCGGCGGCTTTGTAATAATCCTTGTCTCGCGACACATAGCGACTCACTGTGCCGAAAAAGTGTCTTTCGAGTGAGGAGACCTTTGACAATCCCAGGAAACAACCGCCAACAAAACACAAAGTACGCACGGGACGCAAGTTGCCCATCTAAACCGACAAACACTGGCACCACTCTTGGCAAATACACACGTGACCACCATGCAGAAGCTACACACGTGATCACCATGCAGGAACAACAAGGGTCAGACCACACATGCAGGACGTACAGCCAAAGTCCGCCAGCTTAATCACAGGATGTTGTGACGCCTCGCCGGGAAAAAGGAGCATGTTGCGAGTGGCCAAGTCCCGATGGATCAGATTGCGATAATGCAAGAAATACGTTGCTTCCGCAATATCCAGCATAAAATGAAGCTGCGCACGAGTTGCAAGAGTCGTTACACAGCGTCAAATTTAGCACCTCTCACCCGGGTGCCCTGCTGCCCCCCTCCCCAAAAGGGCAATACCTCAAGCCTCCCGAATGACACACAAGTCGTGCAAACTTACCTTGGCCTGCTGTGAGCAGAGACTTGTGCGCAAATGCTTGCGCAGATCCCCCAGGGGTGTGTACTCCAAAACCAGTTGCACCGGAGTCCTGTCACCACAAACACCGTGGACGGCCCCATTGGTGTGAGTCCGAATAGCAAAAACAAAAGCATGAATTAGGAGAGCGGCGGGCGACTCCTGACTCACACGTCCGAGATGATTCCGAGCAGGGAGACAATGTTCGGGTGTGCCGACACCACGTGCATCAGTGCCGCCTCTAACATAACCGCTCTCGTGTCCATCACCTAAACCAAAAGCGAAGGACTGAGGACTGTCCGGGCCAGTCGAATGCCATTGAATGCCCCGTTTGGCTTTGCCCACGATGGAGAAACTTACCTCAATCTGAGGAAAAGATTTAATCGCTATCGTGCCAAGGCTCCGATGCCCTCGCAAGGTCGCCTGCGCGAGCACCACATGTGAGCGCCATGAAAAGTGCCCGTGCATGCCTCTGCACTTCTAACGACATACCGTAGTCACCACACCAAAGTTGCCCCGGCCCACCAGCTGCTGTAGATGTACATCAGCCCTGAAAAAGACAGATTAGAATTGCGCATGGAGTGTGAATGAGAGGCACAGCACGTCTCTTTCCCCTTACTTAAAACCTCATCTGCGACTGGGCCCCTGCAGCACGCACTGCATAAAGGTCGGGAGACGACGTGAGACCAACAAAGCTTCCAGCTCCGGTATGTGTTCGGCATCAGCAGCGTGTTCAGCAGCTGTGAGTTTTGATTGAAACTCGTGGACGCACAGCTCCACGTGCTCCAGTGAAGACATGGGTACGGTATCGGTTCCATGCTCCAACACTGCAAGCCTTCTATTTCGTTGGCGTTTATCCCGCAGCCGCACAAGTACAGTCCCAGCTATCAATACAAAAACCAACCCCACGACAACCCCAATCACAAGGCCCGTGCTGTCGGTATTGCGCACTGAAGCTGCGCCAGCGCCACCCGACGCGGTCGTGAGCTCAGGTCCCATTGAGGACGAGGAGGCAGTTGAAGGCGTTGGGGCCGCCGTCACATCAATGAGGCTACCATTGAGCAAAGTCACAGCAAGAAGCGCCTCGGCCTCCTGCTCACTGGCGAGCACGTTGCCCTGAGCCATTCCCAAACCAGCCAGACTCATACGCGTCAGGTTGCGCCCTTGGCCAACAAATGCGCTTGTAGCAGTGCAGCTCAGATGGAGCGTAGTATCAGCCGACCAGGAGCCCAAGGTAAAGTGACGCCATTGGGCGTTCAGCAACAGACCATCGACACGGCGAGTACCATCAGAGTGTGAGCAAACAAACACAAGCGTCCCATTGACCAGAGTCATCTGGTCTACGCTTGTGCAGTTTGGCACACGCACACACTCCACTGCGCCTGTCCCACGTGCGATCTGGCACACGATTTCGTCCCCCATGTCCATCGCGCCATGTATAGCCAGCACCACCCGAGCGCCGTCAACGGCCTGCTCGCTACGAAACCTATACAGAGCATTCGCACTCTGGACCACCATCTCGGCCATCCAGTCTGCACCCGTATCTTGCAAAAGCCAGGAGACGGCGCCATTATACATGAGCAGCTGGGTGCCATCTGGCCCCGATGCGCGAAACAGATTCGGGTTGCCATAAGCTGTGAGCGTCGGAAACTGAACAGTGGCTAATGGCACACCGCTGGCATCTACACGGCCATATTCCCAGAACAAAAACGCCCAAGTCTGCTCGTGTGCCTGATACGACGCGTACGCTACCCCTCGCGCGGTGGCAGCAATGCGCAGGCTGCTAGTGCCCGTTGGCAAAGCGATTGCCAGGCTTCCATTGTAGATGTAGTTCCGAACGCGGCGCGCATACGCATGCACGGCTGCAATTTGGGAATATGTATTGGTCTCGACCACTAGAATATAATCTTGCGCGGCAATCACTTGTCGTCCGTATTGCGCCATCAGCGTGGTTGTTTCATTTTGAGCCAGAGTCGCCATCACAGTCCATGGCCACGGGCCAGTCAGGGGTAAATTAACGAGCAGCTGCACCGCCCCTCGCTCCGGAATATGAGCCGTGGGGTCCTCTTCTCCGACCCACACTTGAGGCCCAAAAGTGGCTTCGTCCACAAACACATCCCCATGGAGGCTTTGCAGCGGCATGTCCAAAGTTGCAGGTGAGGTCCAGGCCGCCTGACACCTAGGAAGGTCATATGTGGTGCAAAACAACGGAAAAAAAATAAACGCATGCCAAGCACGGTGAGAGACTCGACGCTGCCATATATCCACACCCAGGCACATCGTCCTGCCCCCCACCCTCCCCCTTTGAACCAACGCAACTCAATACCTACATCCACGCCTTGGCGCCGGCCATCGCGTTGGTCGGGCAGACAGCACAAGCCGCGGCCAAGTCGGTGACATTCAAACGAAAAAAACCGTTGATACCACAATCAGGAAAGGCAGAGCATACGCAATTTCTGACTGTTCCTGTCGTGAATGGGTAGGCGGTCGAGATGTGATCCAAATGCACACGCCCGCGTCCTTTGATCCAGACCTCAAAAACTTGTGGCTGGTCAGCGGTGCCCGACAGCGCGAGCCACAGGCTGACTGGTCCAGCCTCATCGACGTACGTGTGCGCATGCACGTTGTTCGCATCGTCCCGCAGGTTAATCACACCCTCGAAACGTACACTCAACACGACCTCATGCAACGCCGGTGTATCCGTCATCAAAGAAAAGTTGGTAACAAGCTGCCACACGACTGCATCGAGTGGGTATGTCTCCAAGCCCGGGGAAAACTGCCGAAGCTCGCGCTGGGCAGGCAGAGGCACCAAGCTAGCGTCCGTTGCCAATGCCTCAACCTTGAGCTGGAGATCCAAAGCGGCGCCAGGCCAGACGATCAAGGGTGCAGCACTCAAGAGTTGAGCGGAACATGTCCAGTTCCAGGAGTAGACCCCAGACTTCAGCCAAAGAGTGCTGCCCTTTGCCCCAAAGGCATACTCGCTGGCATTGGTCCAGGCTGCCGTTCTGAGGTCTGCCACTACCTGCCCCTGAGGACAGCCTGCTAAGGGCAGTAACAACGGAATGGGCAGCAGTGTGTCCACGCCGGTTGGGGTTGGCCGAAACATCCCGACGGATGAGACCGCGGACACCCATCGCACAGTACAATTTACATGGGCGTCTAGCAAGTTGAAGAGTGACTGGGATGCTAGATGCCGTTGCAAATTTGCAAGCACGCAAGTGGAAGCCGAACCACTGCCGCCGGGTGTCTCAACACAACCTTGCAGCAACGAAGACGGAGGTACGGCACTAGGAAGGCAAGCGTCACACGCGCGAACGACGCTCATCGCCCCCGGTGTTTCAAGTGCCGACAGGCCGTATGGCGCTGAGAGGGAAATGTTATAACTCAAGGCTTCGTCTAGCGTAGACGACAGTGTGAGTACTACGTCAGATGTGCTGTATAGCTCAATGGGGATGCGAAATCTTGGCGTGACTGGGCGCGAGGTGAAGTTCGCATTGAGCGACGATAGGTGAACGACGATCACGAGACCGTGCGCCTCGGCGTTTGAAGCAAGCTCAAACTCCAACAGCACCGGGGCCGGCACAGCGCGAATCAAGTGAATTTGCGGTACACCAGGGCAGAGAACCAGACCCGTTGCGTTCCGACTCGTCACAAACAAGGGCGCGCTGTTGTCGATCGATGGTATGGGCTCGCATGCTGAAAAGTTTGTTGGCTGGGTGGACGTGCTTGGCAAGTTGGTGACAGGCGGGGCTGTTGTACTCATGACACCTGGCCAATCTGACTGGGGGGGCGACAGGAGCATCCAGACGCCATTTGCAAACTGCGCTCGAACGGCCGCAGCCCCTGCTCGCTCTAATCGGGTGATGACGCTGTCTGTTGGCAAGTGACACAGCGATCCGTGTTCAGGTTTGACAAACTCTAGGCGCTTCCCATCGGCGACGACGATAGTGGGCGTTGTGTCTGTCATGAACATGTCAAAGGAGTTCACCTCATCATCGTAGTAGCGGTCGTCGCTGCCTCCGTCATCTGCACCGTCATAGTCGTCACTCCCAGTGACAGCGAGGTTGCTCACTTGATTGCTGCCACTGTTTTCTCTGGTGCCTGTCCTGCGAGCAGGAGGTACCACGATGAGCAGCTCCGCGTTGATGCAATCCAGCGCTACAAAATGTGCTCTGATCAACGTTGACAGTTCAGGATTCCACTCATAAATGCTCAGAAACACCACTCCAGTTTCCATCTCCAACACGGCCAAGTGAGATGCGTTTATGAAATCAAAGGCACCTCGAACGTTTTGCAAGACGGGCACGGTTCGACGGTCTGCAAAACTCCAACGATACAAACACCGTGGCGCGGCAGGCCCATAACCCGGGCACTCGGCTGTATACCAGAGGCTCCTGGTATCCAGCCTGGCTACGACACGCGTGACGCTGCTTGTGATAACGCGCAGATGACCCAGTGTTGGACTGGGCACGGCGGGCACCAATACCAACGAGCCTAGCGTTGCATTATCCGCAGTGCCAGAAGTCTCGGTGACTGTACTCTGGCACCACAAAGCGGCCATGGTATCCGTCAGCGCCAAGATGACAACATCTGCACATTGGAGAGCCTGAAGGGCCTCGGAAGCGTGGACAAAGCCGGTCCAGGCAGTCGAGGCTAAAAAGTAGCGGTTGTCGAGAAGCACCACGCTCAACACACTCCAGTCCAAGGCTGCGCTGTCAACAAGCTCGGCGGTCGCGCCGGTGCCGTTGAAAACACCATCGATGGGACTACCTGGACACGCAGTCGACAAGACATGCACAACTTGATCTTGGCCTTCGTCCACCAGCACCGGTTTGCACTCTATCATAGACACGACGGGAGCTACGGGGCAGAGGCTGGGGGTATAGGCAATGTACGCCGTCTGCTCAAACATGCTCATGTCAACGTACAAGACCGGAAATGTACCTCGCGGGCATGAGATACTATCCCGCTCCACGACGCACGACGTTGCAGCACAATCAACGCGTGTGGCCAGGGAGAACGCCTCAAATGCGGGCCCTGCGACGCATCGTCTGGCCGCCATGGTCACTGACCGCAATGCAGCGGGCACATGCACAGTGACGTGTCGAACAAACTGCAGGGATATGGCCATGTGCCAACCCACACCGGGCGCACAGAGCGTTGTTGTGACGATTTGGTGCTCCGCGGGCAACACTATGATTTCAGGAGACAATGTGGCACACGGTAAGGAGTAGTTTGCAGGGAGGCCACCCGTTTGAAGAATGACGTCGGTCACAAGTTCGTGAGGCCGGGCGTTCAGCGGCAGGACAGCAAACTCGCTGGTTATGGCGCGTAGGCGCAGCGTGGAAGCTGTTGGGGTCAGGGAGCCGTCGGCTGCATCGGGTAGGCTGTAGATAACCGCTGCCTGGCAAGCCGCCGTGGAAAGCTCGGCGGCCTCGATGCGAACCAACACGGTGTCAAAGGAACGAGGCCGTTGTCGAACCAGAACGTAGACGGCACTGCCAACAACGGCGCGTGAGAGCACCGTCCCCCAATGCGTCGGGCAGGAGGTTAGAGAGCCCTCCTCCAGCCCCAAAAGTCCCACGCGCCACGCACGCGTGGCGACACTTTGTTCGACAACGGCAAGCACGGGCTGTTCAGCGATGCGCAGGGTGCCAGCAGGCGTCCAAACACCAGACAGAAACGTGGTTACGTTTCGAACAGGAGAGGACAAGTGCACAATGCGCAGATTAGTCATGACCGTGCTTGAAATCGCGTCTTCGTGGTGCTTGAAAAAAATTGCTACGGGCTCCGTCAAGGCCGCTCGGAACAGCCTCAACCCGCTGTGCGCGTTGAAAAATATTTGTGCATCTCCCTCCGCCACACCTGAGTCGCTGTTCACTGAGGTGACAGAAAAATGGTCGTCCTTGTGCTCGACAACGACAAACAGCGCACCGTTTGAAGCATTGACTCCGCTGGCAGTTGCGTTTGCAGGCTGGGCGGCGGAAGCCAGAAGAACCAAGTCTACCACACTCACGCCTATTGTCCACATGCGCACAATCATGAAGCACGGCTGGCCATTGCTTCCGAGCGTACGACATGGCGCGCTCCACAATTGATCAGTCAGCCTGGTGGGAACACCTGTAACGTTGACCTTGACCTGATACTGGTATCGGTCTGGGGCCAAGCCAGACGCTGTCAACTGCCATTCGTTACGTGGCCCCGGGGAGCGCCAAATAGGAGTATGCTCAGTCGGAGACCAGCTAGCAAAAACATGACCCGTCCAAAGTGCCGAGGCAGCCAAGCCATCGGGTATGGGCATCGACGGAAACGGCAGCGCACAGGAGCAGGACAAGCCATCGGCAGATATGTCGAGAACATCATACGTGGCGAGTGGGGCGAGGTGGAGGATGATATGCACATGCTTGTGTGCTGGTATCAAGGTCGGCACCAACAGTTCCTTGTGTTGGGGCAAGTTCAACTCAACGTCATCAAAGATGGTGGAGGTGTTGACAGCAAGCGTGGTACGGCGGATACCTCGAGAAGCACCAAACCGACTGGTAATGGAGAGACTGATGGGCTCGAGGGAGCACCAGTCCAAGCGCACGTGGGCTAGCGGATTGCTGTTATCCAACATGACCACCGTTTGTTGCTGCGGCTTGCACGGAAAGGTGCGGAAAGGCGCCAATTGAGACAAAATTGATCGCACAGCCGCTGTGGTTTGTAGCATCACCACAGAGAAGCCCAGGCCTGGGTGCATCATGGTCAAGATGTTTAGGTTGAGATGGGCACGCCACCCTGCTCTGAGTCGCATAAGCGTTATCGCGTTGGTCCTCACTGAAACAAAATACGGGAGCTCTGTTTCGAAACAGCCCAACCACTCATCCTCGGCCAGCAGAATCACAGGAAGCGTGCAGTTGTTCGCCAGGATGGGAAGAGATGTTACGTCATCTCCATTGAGTAGCATATCTGGATTGTCAAACACGATGACGCTGGACTTGACGCCGCGGGGCTCTGTCACGTGCCAGAAAGTCATGTGATGACGCAGAAAAATTCCAGAAACGTGACCATCAATGCCGAGAAGCTGACGCGAATTTGAGGTGGTCAACCGGAGCACAGCTTTATTGCTGTCAACCATCATGATGTACAAAGCCACCGAGCCCCCCGCGGTGCTGGCTTGAACAAAGACATGCGAGCTGTTCAGTGCAACCATACCAAGCGATGCGCCATAACCCAAACCATCGTAGCCGCCGCCAGAAAAGACGTCATTTGTTTGCGGTAAGCTGTCATGGGCTGCGACAATGTAGCCTTTTAACACATGACCAATTTGCGCGCGGCTCCAAGGCATACTCATCATTTGAAACTGATTGCTGCGGAGAGCATTTCGCAGAAATGGGTCAGTATCGGTTATGAGGAAGTTGTCCGTGTCAGGGTAATACTTGACAATGAAGTTGCGTAGATCAGGGAATTCAAAGGGGCTGCGGTTGCGAATCATAAAGATAACCTCCTCGTTTGTGTCCACGCGCTTCAGCTGCGCCCCAAACTGGTAGCGGTCACTCTTCAGAGCAGAGGCTTGTAACAAGTCCCATTCTTGGCCCGAGTTTTTGGTTTTGGCGGCCAAGCTGGATAGATTCAGCGCCTTGGATATGGACAAATCGAGTGGGCTCAAAGCTAGGATGACACTCTGCTCGTCCGTGCACAAGCAAGTCGTCTCGCTGCACTCACAATGATGCAGAGCCATCGTGTCGAATATGGTCATGGCGCCGTAGACTTGAAAGGTAGAAAAGGCAGTGGCGTTGTCATAAAAAGTGAAGCCAATCGCTCCTGTTTGGAGCGGCGTTGTCTTGAACCATGACATGTTGTCAAAATTGAGCAAATCTGGGTAGAAAAAACAAAAGGTGATCAAGCGCACATTGCAGGAGAAAGCCCAGATGCAGTCGCAAGTGAGGGAGTGTGTGCGATGGGAGATTGTGTGCTTGTGAAGCGGAGAAACTAAACAATTGGTAAAATAAAATAAAAAAAATAAAGACCTCTGGCGCATCAAAGAAAACCTACCTAGCGCCTCATAACTGTCGCCGTTCACAATGCAGATCACTCTTGCAAAGGTTCCGCATTGGTCTTGTGCGCAGACAGCGACGGCCGTGCACACACCCAGAAAGGCGTAGCTGTCCGCCAAAGGAAGGTGTACGGTGGAGGAAAGTGGCCAATGCGTGAGATAGGACCAAGTCTCGCGGATTGTGTAGCGTTGATAGCTCACAATGCCAAACACTACGTCAATCATCAAATGTGAGAGCGAGGGGCCGCCATGCCGAAAAAAAAATATCCGTTAGCTCCCTAGCATCCAAACATATGAAACTCAAGTCCCCCACCAAAAAAAAAAAAAAAAAAAAAAAAAAAAAAAAAAAAAAAATTAGAAAAAAAACAGAAAGTAAAATAAAAAAACATGCAACATGCATGCGTCGGCAGTTGTAAAGTACCGACCTGGAGCAATGGGATTGGAATGATCAACATGCAAGTGCAAGCCGTACAAGGCCCATGTGGCTGTCACCATTAGAACAATGTCTTGTGCAGTATTGTCGGTGCTGGGGATGGATCGGGAGACCAAGACAGCACGGCCAAAGTCAACGCTAGGGGCAAATACATGCTGTGCAATTTCACGAAGGGTGGTGCCGTAGCCTAACGAGACCGCGTCCATGAGCCGACAAGAGGTGAGCAACCTTATTACCCATAGCGATTGTCATTCAAGAGATACAGCCGGCCGGGCCGACGACTCGGCCAAAATGGTCCGACCAACCAGTAGAAGTCACGATTAAAACATTTCCTGGAGGAGAGTCCCCCGGGTCTAATGTCTCATGAACGTTGAAAGCAAGCGAGGAGGCGATAAAATAGGTTTGCATGGCTGCCAATGGTTGACGAGGGAGGGCCAAACGAAAGAGGAACGCAGTGAGTCTATCTCGATCAGAGCAGAGGGCAGCACTTGACACACTCACTCTGCGGCCTGTGCAGGTCAATGGATTGAGCCACAGCAAGCGAATGCCCCATTTGAGGCAAGCTCCAATTTGCAATGGTCTAGGTGGCCAGCAGCCGGATCCTGAGTGAAAGCCAAGCAGAGGCACAGGGTCGCTCGGGTAGAGTGTCAGAGTTCGCAGGCAAGTACAGACCGGAATCTTTGCAACAGAGTCGAAGAATAGGCGCTGCCAGATCGGGGTAACAAGAGTAGCAGGAACTGTTCACGAAGTTTGACACAACACAAGGTCAGCCTTTGGATCGAGAATGAGGTTAAAAGGGCTTAGAAGATGAGCGCGTGGCACGCACGGGTAAAGTTCAAGGTCACACGATAGACAGCGCCGGAGAAGTTGAAGGCCCCGGGAGCCGACACTAGAATGCTTAGCTGTATCGGAGATGTCATGTTAATGAAAAGGAAAAGGCCAAGGGTGAGCCTGGAGGTTTCATCACGGATGAGTGCCAACGAGAGCGATGGCGTACCTCTGCTTGCTCATAAGAATTGGAGCTGGAGACAAGCGATTCGATAATGACGCTCGCACCAAACAGAAGATTATCATGCAAGCCCATTTCCTCAAGTGGACACAAAACGTGCTTTGCTGCGAGATCAGTCGTCCCGTCGAGACCTGGCGGCATTTGGAAAGTTGAGAAATTAATCAGCGCACAGAACCCAAGGCCGTAACGCCAAGCCCACGCACCAAACCAAGTAATGCTGAGCTCAACATGACCATGCCGATGAGGCGAGGTGCATGGGCCACTGCTACGCGTGTAGCTTTCAAACGCCACGCTCACGTTGGACTGGATAGGATTGCACGAGCCGGTGTGAGAAGCCAGGGGGATAATGGTGGGGCCTGCGCAGGTGCGCAAAAGGCTCGGTTTGGTGGGGTTGATCGAAGCGTACCGTCACTCGCTGGGTGTCGGCGTGATACGGAGGCACGTAGTACGGCTCGGAGGCAAGAGCACTGGCGCCGGCATAACCAATCGTGAGGGCTGCCTACGGTGGCTGATAGCGACGCCATTTGACGCAAAAGCCGACGGGCTCACCTGCCAGCGAGGCTGAGAATGGCGAGCCCGAGCATCCAAAGGCAAGGGCTCCCGCCCACGAGAAGCAGAGGCCGGATTTGCAAGGCCAAGCAGCCCGGTGTATGCTTGACGGGCCGCATGCTGCCGTTTGCGTGTGGCACTCGGGAACGTTGAGCACAGCGGGCTCGAGGCAGCCCCGCGCCTCACTCTGCACCTCGAGTCTCGGCCACGCAGCCACCCATCACACGCTCACACGCTCAGACATACACACAGAGAGCCAGCTCACAAGGATCCCAGTGAGCCAGACCCACCGCCCACCGCCTACAGGCCATGCATCATGGCACGCTGCGCTGGCTGCCAACCTGCCTCTCTCTCTCTCTCTCTCTCAATTCATTCTCTCTCTCTCTAAATCTAAATCTAAATCTCTAAATAGGCTCCTACGGAAACAGCGTTTTTAAGATAAACAAGGGGATTAAAATACGAACATTTAGTAGCGCCCGGGATGCTGAAGGATGCTGGCTAAAATTAATCTCTTGAGACGCTGGAAAGCTTGTCTAAACCTGGTGGGTCAGAAGATAAAATAATGACCGTTAGAAAATGTCATACTTTTCGCTGATCGGCGCCATGGAAGCGTCGGTAGCTCGGCGCTCTGTTGCGGAAACATCTGGTCCTCAAAGCGTTCATGTCTAGCAAGAACTATGATACTCTCGAGAAGGCCACGATTCGCCGTTTGGCGGTGAAGAAGTACTGGGCCGTGTTTGAACAGGTGTTGTTGCGTTTGCTTGATTCGACTCGCCCCGATCAGTATGATTGGGCTTGGCGTTTGGCTAGCGTGATCGCAGCAGAGCAGGCATCTCGAATATCGCTGAGAGATTTTGAGACCATACGACCGAGGATTGTTGCCACTTTTCGCGGTCAGCATTTGCCCGCAGCCCTCCACGACATGGACCGATTCCGATCCCTGTTTGCATTTCATTCTTTGGCTGCGATACACGAGGCTGTTGAGGCAATGGAAGACGCCGCACAATCCCCTCTTGTTGAAGCGTATGTTATCACCCTGTCTGCACGTTCCTCGATATCATATCTGCTTAAAACTTCGATATCATGCAATGATGTCTTTCGTGGTTGTGGCTGCTCCACCATAGGTATCAATCTGCTATGCGTGCCAGAAAGCAGCGTCCACTCCCTTTTAATGTCGCTTTACAATGCACCCTTGCATACAACACGAGTTGTGAGCGGACATACCGCGATATCGTGGAACTGATGGGGCTTGTTGTGAGTGAAGTGGTTGTCAGTGCGTGCGTAGCGAGCATTGAGGATGCCGTTGCCACCGCTTTCAAACCGCTAGTCTTATGGCATCCTTGGCTGACGATGCATGAGTATGTTGCGTGGAGTGCAAGACACATCGAGGCATACCAGGGCAAAGGTGTTGGCCATTTCCTCGCTCCCCGACTACGCGCAGAACCCGATTGCCCGCCACGCATCGCTGCCTTTGTCGACGGAACCGTGTATCCGATCTTCAGGCCCAGTGGTCGCAACCGTAACCAGCGGGTGAACTACGACGGCAATCATCGTGTGTGTACCGTTGTTGTGTTGATTTCAGCTTTGGGCTGAATCTCATTGATGAACGCGTCTTGTTGTGTTTCATCTTTGATACGAACCAGATGCATGCGCTCAAAGGCCAGATTATCACTGACGCTAGTGGCCTTGGGGTCAGCGTCCACGGCCCATATCCTGGGACTGTCAACGACAAGTAAGGTTATTCGCATTCTCCCTACAATACACGTCCAATATGATTCAAATTATCATCTTTGTTAATTCACATTTTAGGAAGATGATACGTCTGAGTCGCACGCTTGAACTGGTCCAGGAACATTGGCCGGCCCATCATGTGCTTCTTGGAGACTGCGGCTATACGCACACTCCAACTCGCGGGCTTGTAATCGCAAACCCATCGTCGAATGCCGACTGCCACGTGCGCTCTAATCTTGTCTTGAGCGCTGTCCTCTATCGAGTACCCTTGCTCACTTGATTTGAGTTTCGCAGGACTATGAGCGTCAAGCCAAGGCTGTCCGTGTCAGCGTTGAGCACATCATTGGAGCAGATGGATACGGTTCGAACCAATCCTGCTTGCCTGAAATCGTAGCTTTGAGTTCAATGCTCATGCTTTCCTATGTGACGATTGTATCAACAATGCATTCAGGTGTCAAGTTCTTCTTCCGACGCTTGAGAAGCAAATCATGCGGCATCGCACAGTCAGATCTGAACAATCGGTTTATTTTCATTCACTTGATGCACAACCTGGTCATATTACAACGATGGAAAACTGGAGTGGTGAATATGACAGCGGATCGATTTCAGGTTGCCAACGGCCCAACGATGCAAGAATATCTCACAGGCTCATGGCCGACGAGCATGTGTGGCCCCCGGCCCTTGAGCCATGACTCATAAATTCACTACTTTGTCTTGATCAGACACCGTCATTCATATGACATGCTTCATTTGAATTGATTATGCTATGTCCAGGCTGCCCCCACTTTATTTGGTGATCATTTGTCCAATGTCACCCCCGATGCGAAAATACACGTTTCGTGTTGGGGAGGAAGGGGTGGGTGGCGATGGACCTCCCGATGCGGATGCCACAGTCGGCGGCGCAAGGGTTTTGCAAACCGCCAAAACCTCTTTCATCATCTCGGCTTGCGCTACGCTCTGCTGCTTCATCATCTCGGCTTGCGCTACGCCCTGCTGCTTCATCATCTCGGCTTGCGCTACGCTCTGCTGCTTGATCACCTTCATCGCCTCGCGCAGAAGTGCTCGGTCTTTTTTGGAGCGTCGTCGATCTTTTTTTCGACGGCGCGCGTCCTGAGCCTCCCGGTCACGCGCATGTGCCTCGCCGTAATCTTTGAAATCCTGCAAAACACGCTTGATTGGGATAGGCAAGTCGCCGTTGTTCTCATCCAAAAAGTCGATATCTACAACCAGTTCAGATCACATTATTAGACGCCTACGACGGCTTGTCACAATGTGACAGACGCATGGGAAGCCTGCATCGCACCAATACTATCGCGTTTGGCACGCGAGCGAGACTTGACCCGCCGCCTAGTTTTTTTTGATTGGCCATCGTTGAGTACTGGGACTTCGCTGTCGGTGTGCCCCGAATCAGACAGATCGGCTTGAAGACAGAACAGCAAAGCTTTCTCAGGGATGGAATTTGCCATGATGGTGCCTTGCTCTGCATTTGCCCGGTATTTTTTGAGCGCACCGATGGATACGCCATGTAATACGGCGTTTCGCATGCGTCGCATGGACTCCCATGTTTTGGAATAATGGCTCAGCTACAAAGCAACAACAAAAATTAGCTTGTCACGTGCATGTGATTCCATTATGATATTGCGGTTGGCCGAGCATCATCTTACATGTATCCAAATAGCAGCTGGCTGGTAACCAGATGTGCCTTGTTCGCCAGGTTCACAATTTTCAGGGAAATCCTCCGAAAACCAATCCAATAGAGAACCAAGTGTTGCGAACAAGACCTTCAAAATCCGGTTTGAGGTCTGATTATTGCGCGACAAGTGCATGGAGATGGACAACATATCTGCCCGCACCGACTTCAGGTGCAGATACGTGCTGGCGATCATGGCCTCTGCGAAAAACAACAACTCGGCTGCTTCTTCCGCAGGCCCCAGTCCAGGCGCGGGAGGCCGCCCCAGTTCGTGTTGTTTCTCACCCGAAAAAGCAGCTCGGAGCTTATTCACGAAAGGGCGCAGACTACAGCGTGCGACATGGGAAGAAAAATAAGACTTGCTCGTGTTTATGCCAGCAGCGACGATCAAACAAACCTGGAGCCGAGGCAAGTCAGAAAAGCACAGATCTGGAGGTGTCGCTGTGCGTAGATGATTTCGCCTTTCTCGGCAATATCCTTTGAAGGCACCTTGCGCACGAGGCCAACTTCTTGACCTTGTCCGTTGTCGACCCGCTTATCACATGTATACCGCTCTCGACACAGGGCGAAAAGACGTTCGTCGCCAGGACTACACCGAGGATAATAAACACAAGGTCAGACATCAAGACATATCATCAGAATGCAAAAACTGCATGTACCTCGTTTGATATCTTGCGAGTGTATCTGCTAGGCTCGGATCGAGACCCCGAAAACGCGAATAACCTGGTCCCAAGGGTATCTTGAGACGGGCACGACGTCCTTCCTCATTGTTCGATGCCCACATCGCAAGCTTGAACTCGTCTGCAATCCGAACGATATGAAATACCGCCGAGATAAATGCTTGCTCCCGAAGCGCCGTGGCGTTCGGAGCAGAAGGGATACAGACATCGTCCGGAAAAGGGAACACGACGAAGAAATCCTATGTGCCGAGGGCATATGAGGAACCACAGGGAGAAGCGATCTCTCATTATGTTGCACACATCTAACATAACAGGGTCGATTGCGGTTGAGCACTCGCGCAGACACGAAACCGAAGACTCTCGACTCACGTTCGAGACACATCCAGTGGCCTCCAGGAGAGCCATCATAACGGTCAAATGCACAAAACATATGTTTGCAATTGGACATGAGGGCAGAGAGAACACATGTTCACACCGGTGAAACTTATCATCTCAATTTTATCTCCTCCGCAGGAACAAAACGAGTTAAGACAACAAAATTGTGACATTTGTCTTATCTCCTTCAAAACTATCATTTCCGTAGGAGTCTAATCTCCTAAATCTCTCTCGTTTGAAAGTAAAATACTTACCTCTATACAATGTCATCTTTTTCTTGTTATTATCTTACATTTTATGTCATCTTTTTCAGAGTTGTTGAATTTTATCATTTTGCTCGTATGACATGATTGCGAATTCATGCAACCACACACACCCCTGCTTGCCCCCTGCCTCACATGCACTCCCTCGCCCTGCTTGCCGCTTCCGCTTCCCCACACATGGCCTCGGACCTCACCTGCTTCATGCTCTAGTCGTGTCTAAGATACCCATGCCTAGTATTTGTCTGATGCCCAGTTCCTCATGCTCATTGTTTCATACCCCGTATCTCCTGCCACGTACCTGTTCCTTGGCATCGGAATCGTCAAGTTGCACGTCTCACGGTCGGGCTTTTCCAAAAGTCGCCGTCATGCGCCCGACGCCGGCGCCTCTTACGCATGTGAGCGTGATCCGCCACATGTTACACCCACGCTTTTGCACTGCGGGTTTGACAGAGAATGACCGCGAACGGGTCAAAGGCTTGGTTGTGCTTGGAACCGCCCAGCGGCCCATCCGTGGCCAGCTGAAGGAGGTGTTGTTGCTGGTCCATGGATCGGTCGATGACGAGCTGTACACGCTCAGGTGGTGCATCGAGACTTCTCCCGCCCCTCAGGAAACGTTGACCCGCGCCCGCGCCCTACTCAGCTCGCAACCCAACCCGGCCGGCTTGGAACCAGCCGCTGGCAGCATCGCCGTTGAAGACCCTGATGCGGCCCCGCCATTGGTTGCACGCGTCAAGCCACCGCGGCACCGACTGGCCCCTATGTCGGTCGGCGAACTGGACTTTGACGTGGCAACGGATGAGGAAGAGGACAGCGCCACTTGGGCTCCAATGGATGGGGCACCAGCCGTTTTTGAGGCTTGGGGGAGTGCGACCATCGACCCTGGCCACGAAAGGGCAAATTTTAAAGCACGTGCTCCGCAACTTGATGACGCCTTTGCGCTTGATGCCTGTGACCCTGGCCACGTCTTCTTGCACTTCCTCCCCCCGCGAATCCTTGAAAACATGCTTCGTGGGAGCTCAGTCGCTTCCTTATCCAAGGAGGAACTGCTCGGATTCTTTGGCTTGCAGCTGCTCGGCGCCAATCACGCTCGGGCGACCGAGGATCTGTTCAAGCCGTCGCAGTCGCAGTTTGACGTCTTTCCGGACTTTTCCTCCATCATGAGCCAACACCGCTTCCGCGAGATTGCCAAAGGCCTTCGCCTCACTGACACCAAGCCTCGGGGCGGAGCCGACCCTTTCCACGCCGTGCGGGAGATGGCCGAAGCTTTCAACGATCACATGGCTAAGAGTAGTGTATTCCGACCGTCTTCACTCGTGTGCCTGGACGAGTCCATGGTCACGCATCACCAGGAGGAGGACCCAGGCTTTGTCTTCATTGGGCGCAAACCCCATCCGGTCGGCAATGAGTACCATGCCATCTGCGATGCCGAGACCGGGATCGTCTATCGCATTGAGATGGTGGAGGGCAAGGCTCGCCCACGACAGCTCCCACTGAAATATGCAGAGCACGGGCAGACCGGTGGCCTCATCCTGCGCATGACAGAGACCAGCGTAGGCATGGGCCGCGTTGTCGTCATGGACAGCGCCTTTTGTGAGCTGCAACCGCTGGTTGAGCTGCGCAATCGGGGTACGTTTGCGGTCACAGTTGCTGAGAAGCGGCACGACTGGCCCAGGCATGTCCCTGGCGATAATGTCCAGGCCCACATGGCCGACAAGCCGGTGGGGCAGCTGCATGGGCGCCGTGGGAGCCTCGATGGTGTTCCCATGTGCCTTTTTGCCGTCAATCATCAAAAGTATGTCTTGCTCATGATATCGTCCTATGGAAACACGGACCAGAGCGCAAGGGTCGCGTGGATCGGGACATAATTTCCTACCACCGCAACCAGCCCCTCGATGACTACTATAACGGGCGCCACGCCGTGCACGATCACAATCAGCTGCGTCAGTGCCAGAAACGAGATCTGGAGATGGCCTGGGACAGTAAGTTTTGGGACATCGACCAACTAGTGTTCGTGGTCTCGACAACCTTGGTGAACACGCTCTTGTGGTACAACCGTCGCTATTTGGCTCCGCGCGGCCGCCAGCCCTTGTCACTAAGTGAGTTGCGGAGCAAAGTTGGCGAGCACCTTGTGCAAATGCTCGTCAACAGCCGCCCCGGCATGTCCCCGGCCTTGTGCCAACCCCACGCCCAAACCGGAACGCTTCATCGACTTATCAGCATTCCGCCATACCAAGGCTCGCGCCCAGGAAAACGCGTCAAGGCCAGGTACCAAGCCGTGCGCTGCCGTGGTGAAAACTGTCATAAAATGGTGCGCAAGTATTGTCTGTGTTCGCCTGTCCTCTTCCTCTGCATCGAGTGTTTCGCCCTGCACATTCAATAGGTCGCCAGCGAGCAATAAAAAAAATTCATTTTCTCGATTTATGGTTTTTTTTCTCATTCTCGATCGACATCCTCTCTGGGACCCTGCTTTGCCTGCTTGGCGAGATAACCCCTTGTACAATGAGGAAGGTGGGGGTTTATGAAAAGCAAGAATTCCTCTGAGCTAACGCCCCTTCACAACATTGAATATATTTGACGACGTTTGTCTCTTCAAGTCTTTTTTTTTTTTTTTTTTTTTTTTAATTGTTTCAGGGACAAGGACTCGGTCCTCTCTCGGAATTGAGCGGGTTGTCTGTTGCTGTAAGGCGATCGATCTAAAGTGAGGTGCTCAGGCTGTCCTAATGATGCCTTTGTTCTTCTGAGCGAGGTTTTCGCAACCCTTTTCGCACGTCGCAAACGTGTCTCAATTCTGCGGTACAACGCCTACAACGTGATTGCTCACAAAAGTTGTCATGCAACCGGAACAATTTTCCACTTTCAAGCGTTCAAACGAGCGAGAGGATGCGAGTCGTATAGGGAGAGGAGGAGTCGCTCCAACACGTCGCTCAAACCTGACCCACCGCACTGCGGCAGGCCTTTTAAAAATAAGGCACAGCCCTAAAATTATGCTTTCGTTACATTTTCACGTTTTTGGAGGTTCTGTCACAACGAGCCGGCGCACTGGTGAGGCAATTTCAGCCTCTGGGAGCATCGTGACACCGTGGCTATGCTTTGCTCGATACATACCGGATCGATGGAAACCGAGAATTGAATTCCAGCTGCAGGTCGTGACCAGCGCAGAAAACTTTGAACTCTTGCAAAAACTGTTCGTTAATCAACGTTTGCGAGAGGTCGCGTCGGATGGGCAAGAGGTACTGAAACAAGCGACCCACGGCCTTGGAATTGACCAGATATGCCATGGGCGAAATGTTGCACTGCATCAGGCAACGGTGTCGCAAGCATGCATCAATGGTCAGACTGAACTCGACGCACCCAGCAAATCAAAGGAAAAAAAAGCTGCTGAGAAACATACGCTTCTTGCCAAACAAACCTCGGCGCGCGGTGCGGGCACTGGATAGGCGCTCGATGTGGGCGGCTTGGTGCACGCCGCTGCACAGTGGAACGAAAACAGGTCCCAGTCAGACCGTCCCAGGCGTTCCAGGGCTCGCTCAAGAAGTGTCGGAAAATTCGGTGGCAAAATGGCATCATCTTCAAACACGGCGTGGGCCACAATCTCGCCATTTGATGCGGGTAGTTTGTGCAGTTTCTCGTGCAATAGCATGTGGGACAGCGTGCGACCCACATCGCCACGTTGGCGGCTCGTCAAGGGCACTGTCAAGATCAGAAGTAGCAGCAAACACCCCACAACGTTAGATGATTCGGCGATGGCATTGGCCATGGCACACACGCGGAGAAGGCTTCGTACCCGCCACAACGTTGCGTTCAAAGAGTTTGTCCATCATCAAGGAGCTACCATCCGTACCTACATGCCAAAACATGCTGATGCCGGCCTGATAATTGATGGATGAGGGCTGTCTTGCAGAGCCAAGTCAGGAGCAATTCAAAGTAAAAACAGGAGTGCCAGATCATGACGCGCACCTGGCGAAGGTTGGCTTCAAAGGCGGCGCGACGTTCTTCGTCAGATTGTAGGCCGATGAAACTCAAGGTCACCTGACCGCTTGTTACGGGCCATGCCGATGACTGTAGATCAGCACTGAACATGGAGGCTGGTGAAAAGACATAGGGCACAAAACAAATCGGCAAGGGTTAACCTCATGCGTAACTAAAGGCGATAGGGGGGCGGGGGGGACCTCGGATGCAAGCACAGAAAAAGGTCAAATAAACATGCTTGCAAGTCGTACTAGATGAGGTCTCGGCGGGTTCAGCTGCGTCAGAGGCCGACTGTAAGCTTGGCGGCACAGGTGGTGCGGCGATGGAGGGCTCGGTCTTGGCGGAGGCGGGCTCAGCCTGAGAGGGTATAGCTACAGAAGGGTCGGCGACGGGTTCTGGGGAGGCGCGTTCGATCGTGGGCTCTGTTTGGGGCTCTGGCAAGACGGCCAAATCAAATTCAACATCCGAATCGCGGCCATGAGCCATTGTAAAGTCCACTGGAGGCTCGTTGGCGGCAAGGGGGTGCAGGGCGTAGACTTGGTCCCACTGGCGCATGGCCTTGAGCAGCATGATGTCGGGACTCTAGGGAACAGCATGCGCGTGTGTGAGGACGGAGACATGGGGGGACTAGGCAAACGTTCAGAAGCTGTGTACCCACATAGCGAAAGCCTTTTTTGGAGACAAGCTGCACCAGACTTTGAGCCGCACGGCTTGAGAGAATGTAGGCGCAGGGACGGTAGTGGAAAGCGCGGGTGGGGGTGGTGGCGTCGCCTTGGTCCAGCTCGGGGTCCCAATCGGCGTGAAAGAGCGTGGTCGGCTCGTGCAAGTTGAAGTGGCGCGAGACACGACGAAGGGTGCTGGCTTGACTGTAGTAGGCTCGGTTGCCAGAGGAGAGGCCACCGAGGAAGACAACATCCGCGTCTGACGGAAAGGCATGCTGAATTTGTGCGTTCCAGCGCGCCACAAAATCATGGGCTAGTTGGACGTCATCTTCAAGAATAAGGTGGTATTGCTGCTCGCTCGTGGCAATGTGGCGCCAGAGAGTAAAGTGGGAGAGGGCCTTGGCGATGACGGCACGGCGAGAGTGGAAGCGGTTGCCGGCAAAAAGACGGCGTAGGCTTTGGCTCCAGGCCAGTTCACGCTTATCAAAGGCGGAAAAGATGTGAATGCTGTCTGGGTCGACGTTGGAGCGCTGCAAAAAGCCGTGCAAACGGTCAGGGCGACGGCGCAGGTTGATTACATAAACGCCATCAATGCCTTCCAAGAGTGGGCGCTGGGGAAAATAGGTCAAGTACTTGCTGACGTCTGAAGCGCCGAACCCATCAAGCGCGTGAGGTATCGGCTCGGTCACGGGCTCCAATCAGGTCTTGGTCAGAGCCAGGCAGCAACAGGCTGAGCCAGTCAGGCTCAAGCTCGGCCTGGAGCTGCCCGGCCGTTTCCATTCCCTGATCAAGGCCGGGGGAGGGACAAGACAGAGACGCGGGGCGGGCAAGTATCAACGTGTGTACGTACGAGGCTGCCAGGGGCGGGCACAGAGAATGTTGTACACGTTGGGCAGGCACGGGCCAATACAGGCCTGCACGTCGTCGTGCTTGAGGATGCAATCACACTGCACGGCATTTCCACCGCCCCGCGCGGCCACACAAGCCAGAAACGAGTCGCTGGCCTTGGCACACTGTGTCACTGTCTCAACCACAGTGTTGTTGGGGCACAGCGCTTCATTGTGTCCCTGAGCTGACAACTCGCTCCCCGCCACCCACCCCACCCAGGCCAGTAGCAGCCACATCCCCCTCACCCAGCCCACACCTCCAGATCGCATCGTGCCTGTCGTCAACGCGCCCGTCCACTATCGATCGCTCAGGGCGCGCGCACACACACACTCCACACACTCCGCGCGCGCTCTCTCTCGCTCACACACTAAAAAGTTGAAAAATACATGGCCGTTTTTGCCCAGAATAGAATGAGCTTTTTGACCCCTTGAGAATGGATTCTGAGGGGGTCGGCAAAAACACAAGAATGAGTTTTCGAAAATTTCCAATTTCTCCTTCCGAATGAGAAAATGATCGCATTTGCAAGGGAAAAAACCAGCACCATAAAAAGTGGCGCTAGTTTTTTTTTGGGAATAAGAAATCGAATTTGGAATCAGTTTGACACCACTCAAACGCAGAAACACAATGTCATTCTCATTCTTGGGTTGGCAAAAACGGCCCATTACATGTAAATTTCGAAAGAGATGTTACCATTTGTTCATTCAACTTCTACTACTACGGGTGGTAAACTGATTTAAAATCCCTTCCCCTCTCCCTCTCCTTGTTCAACGATTGCGCGCTATCTCCCTCGGCATGTCTCTGTCTCTCACTGGCATTGTTAACGATCAGGACAGGTCGGGCAGAGGGGCAGGCAGATCGACATGTGACGTGAGCTCGGCCCTAAGGGGGTGATGATCTCAGCCCCAAAGGGTTTGTGACCTCAGGCCTAAGAAAAGCACTGCCCCAAAGAGTTCATGGGCAATCGGTAGGCAGTTGGTCACAGAAAGAAAGAGAAACAGGGGGAGGATAGAGACACTGTGATGTCACAGGGACGGGGAGAGGTATTGCGTAGGAAGCTTTGATTGATGATTTCAGAACGGCCATCTCGTTATAGGCGGGCAGAGGTCCTCACCCGTGGCCCATTTGCCCAGCGCTCGCCCTGGGTCTGTCAAATTTAATAAGATGCTGTTGAATTCATGCACAGGTTTATACACGAGCACGTCCAAGACCGAACAAGCACAGCATTGATTGGTGGCCCACAAATCCTGCGGTTGGGTTTCAAAGAGCCATGTTGGCCAGTTGCGCCACTTCGTTCATGGAGAGAGCATGATCGTAGATGCGAAGATCATCCAGCACCGCGTCCAGAGGTGCGTCTGACACCGCAGCCGCCGACTTGCCAATGTAATTGACGTCAAGCCAGCCGACAGGCATTTGCAACATGCCTACGTTGCTGCCCACCAACTGCCATACACACATATAGAGGTCGATGAGACACAATCCAAGCGTTCCACGAGGCAAGCGTGATGGTTCGGAATAGAGGGGTGAAGCTTTTGGAACAACCACAAGAACCACCAACAACAACATCAAAAGACGTTGGCTCCGACCTCGCCGTCGATGGCCAAGTAGCCACCAGTCGAGTTGCTGAACCCGCACACGTGAATAAACACATCGGCCTTATCAGCAGGCAGGTTGGCCCGCACGACTTCACCATTGATTTCCATGAAGAGCTCTGCGTTGGTATTCCAGCGTGCAATGTACATGCGGTTGGTCGAGTTGCCAAAGTCCACAATGCGTCTGAAAACAGCGTTGCGTGATAGGCCCAACAAGCCAACAAGCCGGTCAGCCACCCGTGCAATCGTAATGGAAAAAAGAAAAAAAAAAGAAAAAAAAAAAAATTGCACTCTGTTTCGTTTTTCTGTGTGGAAAGCTGTGCCGAGGCGTGAACGTACTCCCACATTCCGACACGCCGGGTTTGAATCCAGGAGCAAACAGTAAAGTCACCGCCAAAGTTGCGTGCAGGCAGCTGCACCCAGCTACCATTACCAGGCAACAAGAGAGCACCCGTCCCGACGGCTACATTCGTGTTCTCAAAGAATAGATCTTTAGCCTAGGTAGTAAGTCACATAACAAGGAGGCCAAGGAGCAGATCCGCAATCAAAAGAATGCGCCATGGGAAAGGGCGCTGCACACCAGCGAAAGTGGCTAGGAGGGCAATTGATAAAGGGCGACAAGCCACGAATCGTACCCGAATGTTGACAGGCACAAGCTCGCCATGCCACTCATTGCCGCTAGCATCGCGGACATTGCCGTCAAATTTGAAGTGGGCCACGAGGCCCACACAATCAAGGTCGGGCCGGCCCTGGCAGAGGAGATGATGAACATCTTCGGCTGAGAGTGCGAAGTTGTACACGCGATAGTCATCCAAATTGCCACCAAAATAATCATCACCGGCAAAAGTGGAGCGGCCAATGAAGATGTTGCGGTACTCAGTGCTATTGCGGACGCGCATGTTGCTGTTGCGGCCAATTTCGCGACCTTGGCGATAAACGATGGCAAGAGGACCTTCGAGGGTGAAACAGTAGTGCTGAAAGCCACCATATGCCCAGTCAAAGCCACCAGCCACGATCATGAATGTATCGAGTGAACGATCCTCGAACAAAAAGGTGAACTCAAGTGTTGTGGTTTCATGAGAGTTACCGATAAATATGCTCTCAACTGCGCGCCAGGTGTGCCACCACTTTGAGATATGCAAACGTACAACGGGATAACACACATTGGGCTCAAGTCACTCACCACCGCCGTTGTTAAAGTCGGCCACGCGACTCCAAAATTGGAGACTGCGGTAACGGACCCAGGAGCATACCTATGGAGTAGAATTGATCCAGACAAGGTTGGGGAACAAGCTCATGAGCGATGCCATTGATGTGCGCAAGGGAAACAAGTGCACCCACTGTGAAAGCATTCTTCAAGCTCAAGGACGGCGCAATAACGTAGTCATTGACACCATCCAGATACAAAGCCATGTCGCCCTAAAGAAGATCAGGGCATTAGGTAGACAGTGCAGGACTATCAGAGCGTCTCAAGATGAAAGAGGCAATGCAAGGGTCCAGAAGTTTAGGCTCGACACTGTCAGTAGCTTGATATCTTACCTCGGGTGCATTGACTTGGTACAAATTCATGTTGTGGTGGTTGAATGCCACACCATTGTTATCCAAACCTGAGGCGTCCTGCAATGTGTTCTCAAAGGTGTAGTGTAGTAGCAGTGCGTCTCCAGCGGTCATTGCAGCGGGACGTTGAACACCTTGTGACTACAATAATCGTCCTCGAGGTTAGTTTGGGCCACTGCTTGGAACATGCAGGGTCCGAGGAAAAGACGGCGGCGTTGGACCAAAAAAGGTCTTACCTCGAGGAACAGGTCGGCAATTTGTGATGAAGTGAGAGCGCGCGACCACATGCGCAAGTTGTCAATGGCACCATCAAAGTCAGGGTTGCTGCAAACAAGGAAGGGACAAGGAGGCGGGGGGGGGAATTAGACGGGGCTCAGTTTTGATAAACACAGCCACACGAGCATTAACGTGGTCAACAAACTCGTTGAAGTTGGAGCGACCGATGTAGTTGGAAGTACGGCGTAAGTAGGGGATGGGTGGGGCGTTGGACATTTGCATTGTCTGAACACCATTTTTATAAAGCTATGCCCAGGCATGCACGGCACAAAAATAGCAGTCACCACGTGCCGGATCAGGTACATGGCCCAATCAGGGAAAAAACGTGGAGGTGTTTCTGTCAGGGAAATAGAGACACAGAGGCTCCTGGTAGAGGCTTGACGGACCGTGTAAGTGCCGTCACTAGTGGCCGTGACGCAGACGTGAGCCCAAATGCCAGCTTCGAAAAAGTTATTGGATCGCAGCTGTGTAGCGATGTGGTTGCCTTGGTAGGCCTCAAATCTTTGATACACAGTTTACGCCAGAAGGGTCAAGGGTAAAGTGAATGCTGGAGCGGCCATGATGGTGGTGCCTGTTGCTATCAAGCGCTGTGACGTCAACTCGCGTTGAGTCGGCCAGCAAAGGGGTTGGAGCTTACAGGATGTCGTTGCTGTCATGACGGTTGAGCATAAGGAGGTTATTGTTGGCACCTAGTCGGGTGCCTTCCTCAGACATGCTAAAGTCGAAGATGCGCGAAGAGAGGCCAAAGGTGTCAAACATCACATCCACACACACGGAAAAGGCGCCACCGATGACATTTGCGGGGGCACGCAGGTGCTGATCAGCGCCGCTCAGCACAAGAGCGGGCGAGCCATCGGTACCATCCTTTCATGATGTATGGGTTGTGGCCACGCGAAAAACGCCGCGAAGACAAAAATGTGAGGAAAAGGTCGAAGGAAGAGATGACTGAAAGCCTTACAAGCCCTGCTCTAAGATGTGGCAGCCGACCAAAGTCGGCTTCAAAAGCAACTTACACGTCCAAATAGGTTGTCGGGGGCAGCGCCGTAGTAGAGGATGTTGCGACGGTTGTAAGAAAGGTCCAAGAGGTTGTTGTCAAAGGATAAATGGAGGAGGTCAGCTTGGATCTGGCAAGGGGCTTTGGGAGCCTGGGAGGTGGTATAGCCAGGAATGCACTGCGTGCAGGAGGAGGTTTGGACATCACCAAGGATGCAATACTGTGGCAGGCCTCTGGGGTGCCAAAAGTAAAAGTCTCCATCCCAGGTCTCGGCGCGGCGGCACGTCTTGAGAACGAAAATGGAATGGTTTGGGGTGGGTAGCAGGTGACAGTCGCAGTCAGTTCGGTCCAGAAGGGGCGGGCTGGCGGGATTAGGTGGATGATGAACCAACCTCAGGGTTCTGAGTCTGAGTGTTGCAGCGTGCCACGCCGAGAACCGTGGCATTGCAGGGCCCAGTCACGTCGGTGACGGCAACGGAGTCTGGGAGATTGCAGTGCTTTGCGGATGCAAGGTCGCCTGTGATGTGGGCGAGGACATCTACGCCATTGATGACCACGCCATTGGTGGCATTGATCAAGAGCGTGCCCTTGTGGTCCACGACCATGAATGGCTTGGCAACATCAGCGGCGGTGCAAGTGGCAAGGGCAATCAACATGAAAAGCCGGCGGCCTGCACCGGAGTTTGTGAGTCGTGGCAAGAGTCGGGCCATTCTAATCAATCGGATCAAAACAAATCACAGGCGACTTGATCGCCCCAGTAAAATGGATGTTGCAGCGAGAGTGGTAGCAGCAGCGAGAGTGGTAGCAGCAGCGAGAGTGGTAGCAGCAGCGAGAGTGGTAGTAGCCAGTGTGTGACAACACGCTACACAACACACACACGGTCTCTCTTTCGTTCACTGAGAAAAACGAGTCCGATATGCAACTCACCCATAAGTACCATGTGTGATCCAAAAAATGATGACAAATTTTGAAACACCATGACACAACTGCTGTTTGAGAATAAAGGGGTGATTTCAGATACTAAAAGCTGTTGCAAGCTGTTGTTGATTTTTTTTTTTTTTTTTTTTTTTTGTGGACGCGCGGACGGGCTGCAGCCGTCGATTGACTGCATATTGCCTTCAGGCGGCTGCTGTTTAGGGGGTTTTGGGTAGTGGATTGCATTTTTGGGTTGCATCCTTGTGGATCATTGCGCGCGTTGGCTGCGCAGGCATGGCGGCGCGTGATTCGGCCAAGCGGCGGTCGTGGGAGCGATCGGACCTTGGTGAACGAGAACAGAACGGCCGAGATGAGCGCAGGCAAGACCAGCAGGATCAGGGCCAACATCAACAGGACCGGCGCAAAGGGTTTCAACATGAACAGAAGCAGCATCAAATGGCCCGCAATGAACCGCCTCGAATGGAATCGGCTCAAAAGGGCAGCAAGGCCAAGTCTGGTGGTTTGACCACCCAGCAGCGCACCTTGTCCTCATACTTTGGCCATGACACCAGCCACAAGCACAAGCCTATGCCTCCGCCCATTGGCCGAAAAGCCTCAGTTCTGGGTGCCACTGCTGGATTGGGTCGGCGGGGCAATGTGACACCGACCCTGTCACGCCAAGCCACCGCCGAGAGCGCCGACTCTCATGAGTTGCGTGCTCAGCTCGATCAACTCAAACACATTTGTCATCGTATTCTTGGTCAGGAGCACCGCCACCTCTCGACCCTTGACCGCTGTCTAGCCGAGCTCAGCAAGGTGGTAGAGGATGTCTTCAACGTGCCCAATGCCTTCAAGAGCCGCGCTGCGGCTGATAACCGAGATTGCATGTGCGTTCGTGCCCAGTCCAGGGCCCGACAACGGTCACCAATGCATGTCCAGTTTAGTGAAGTGAAGCTCCATTTCTCTTGACTCACAGCGACTCGTTGCTGCGTTTTGCAGGGAGTTTCGTCAAACTTGGGACCAATTACAGTCCCTTCCCAACCAACGTGATCTCTCGATGAACCTCGACTTTTTCCAAAATAAGATCAAGTCTGCCCCCGAGGGCGCTTTCATTGAAGACATGCTCAGGTATCGCCAGCTCGCTCTGCGACACCGAGATGAACGAGCCAACATGTCAATTCACCCTTGTGTCTCATCAAACTTTTAGCTCTTGGGCCTCGCGGCACGATTTACTCGAGCGACATCATGTGAGCCTCCCCATGCCCACAGCCTCCAACTTGTATCGCCATCCTCGCCTGCGCTGATGGAACCCATTTCGTGCCTTTGCGCTCTTCCAGGGATACATTCAATGGCTGTTTCCTCTACACAAGGTATAACCACACACTCACTTGACAGCGTGTGCGCGCCCCACGGTGTGTTGGTGCACAGAATCCCGCGGTGCTCCACTCATGATGACGCCTTGCTCCTCACTCCATAGCATGGCATGTCCTTTGATGCCGTTCCACTGCAAGTCCACGAACGCATCACGATCAGCAACGATCACGAGTGCATGGATCGGTTCGTCACGCCGATGCACACCCACGGCTTCTTATTTCCCCCATGGTATCTGATCGTTGTTGTCAGGCAAGGTCCGCTCCTGTATCTCTCACGCGCCATGAATTCCTTGCACCTCTTCTCCTGGGCAGTTTTGTGCGTGGCTACAGCATGATGCTCAATTTTTATGGGTTCAGGCTGACCGGCCCGTGCGTCATTGTGCTGGTCCTGAATGGCGTGCAACCCTGACTTGCTCCTGCTTGTACCCAAGACATGCCACTGTCCTCATGGTCCATTGCTACCTACTCCCCAGGCTTGCAGAGCAAGGCGAGGTCCACTGTTGTGAGGATCCAAGCCAGCAATGGAAAAATCTTCGTTTCGCATATCACAATGCACTTCGTCTCACCCGCATCCTACGTTGCCTAGCGCTCATGAACTTGAGCCATTACCAGGTCTGCTTAGCCTCAACTGCCACGTCCCCTCGTGTTGCAGGTCTTGGCCCTCGCGTGCTCACTCGTGCTGGGGTCACTGGGCTTTGCTGTCACAGTTTCCGCTGATGCTAGCACTATTACAGCCCATCGTCTCGGGTCAGCTCAGGTCGTATGCCAATACGTATGTTGACATTTGGCTCTCTGTTTCGTGCCCTCCTCTCTGTTTCGTGCCCTCGCGTACTCGTTGCAGGAGTATGTTGACGCGTGGCTTGCCGTATGGATAGGTTTGCCAGCTACTGGCTCTATAGTTTAGTCGATAAGCAGGAGCGAAAGTGTCTGTTGGCCCTGGTAGAGTTTTTCAACAGTCCCTCCCGGCGTCACGCGTTTTTATCTGATAATGCACCAATCCCGGCGACGCTTGACGCGGACGCAGCTGCCAGCGCAGAGCCAGAGTTGGCAGCAAGCGCAGATGTGGCGGACAGTCGCGAGGCCCTTGAGCGGTTGAAAACTTGATTGGGCTCATTTTGACTCACATGTCAATACCAAACTTGATTGTCCTCATCATGTCTATTGCCGTGCCAATTTACATGTAAAGCATACACACAAACAACGGGCAAGCATTGCGGCTGCTCTCCAGCCATCGAACCGCTCGAGCATGTATCACGCCGCAGCCCTTTATGTGGGCGTCGGGGCGACGCCAGTCAGGTCGACAGGCATGGCGAGGAGCTCGGCTCTTAGGGCGCGCACGAGTTGGTTGGCTTCACGAATGCCAAAACACATGGGAGGTTTGATGACCATGACGTTGTCATGAGGGCCGTCTAGGGATGTCAGAATGTGGTGCTGTAACCGAAGCTGCGTACAGAGATGGGAGGCCGCTTGGGTGGCGGGGGTGGGATGCTGAATGTGGGTCACAAACTCGACACCCACAAAAAGGCCACGGCCACGAACGTCACCAATGTGACAGGGCAGCTCGGGGTGCTGTTGGGCTAGTGATGCCTGCAGTTTGCAAAGGCAGGACATGAGATGGGCACCCACGCGGGTCGCGTGAGCTAGCAAATTGTCGGCTTCGAGGGTCTCGAGCACGGCGAGGCCGGCAGCACACGAGACGGTATTGCCACCAAAAGTGTTGAAGTATTCTGGACCGCGGGCCAGGGTGGCACCTATATCTCGGTGGCAGAGAACGGCAGCGAGCGGCATGCCATTGCCCATGGGCTTGCCAAGTGTGATGATGTCGGGTGTGACGTCGGCCCACTCAAAGGCATACCAAGCGCCGGTGCGACCGAGACCTGTTTGCACCTCGTCGCAAACGCACAGGCCACCGGCTGCGCGAACGGCGGCAAAGGCAGCCTGGAAGTAGTGAGGCGGGGGCAGAATGACGCTGGCCACTGACATGCCCGACTCGACAAAGAGTGCGGCTAGTTGTCGATCGTACTGGTCGCAGAGGTGCCGTAGCGGACGGAGGGGGTCAGCGCGTGTGGGGTCGCCCGGACGGGCGGCACTGGGCACTGGTAGGACGTGTGTGTGAGTGGGCGGAGAGGGCTGTCCAAGGGCCGAGTATCGGGGATGGAGAAACTTGTAGGGGGAGAGCTCGAGGGTGGCCGTGGTGTTGCCATGATAGGCATGGTCAAGCACGGCCACGTGTTGGGCCCCGGTGTGGGCGCGGGCGAGGCGGAGGGCAAGGTCGTTGGCTTCCGAGCCCGAGTTGACAAGAAACACGACGTACTGGTCGCGCAGGGCAGGGGGCAGGGTCGTGAGAAGCCGTTGGCAGAGGTCGTTGTAGGTGGGATGGAGATAGCGCGAGTTGGTGTTGAGGGTGGCCACCTGCTGCTGAACGGCGCGGACCACGGCTGGGTGGCAGTGGCCCAGGTGCGGCACGTTATTTCGGGTGTCGAGATACGCCTGACCAGCGTGGTCAATGAGGTAACAGCCCGTGCCCCGAATAATGACGAGGGGGGCGGACGTGGCGTAGGACACGCTCAGGGCTGCGCTGGTCAAGGCCCGTCGCTGGGCATGCAGGCGCTGCGGTTCATGGCTGATTTCTGGGCATCCAAAGCGCACCCATGCCCACCTGAGCCCCTTTGCCAGAAGCCACCCGCCAAGGACTACACTGCCTGTAGCCGCAACAACCTTTACAAGCGCGCTGCGATCCGGAAGCAAGAGTGATCGGGGCATCCTGATCTTCAATTTGGGCGCCAGCGCCATTTTTTTTAGAATCTTTGTCAGCATTTCCGATGATTTCGCTGACATTTTGATCGCGGGGATCGGTATGTAGGGAGAGCTACCATTTTGACCCCCCTCGAGTCGGATCGCAACAGCTGTTGACACCACCTCTTTACACCAATCACTCATGTGTACCCAAATTACACTTTCATGTCAACCACGCGGAGGACGTCAAATGTGTATGTGTGTGTGTGTGTGTGTGTGTGTGTGTGACGTTCTCTCTCTCTCTTCACACACATCTTAACTCTCTCTCTCTCTCTCTGTTAACTCTGCCTCTCTCTCTCTCCTCTCTCTCTCTCTCTCTCTCTCTCTCTCTCTCTGTCTTTTTCTTTGTTGAGGAGGTTCGTGTCACATCGTGGAGCTGGTGAACCTGTTGTTGGGGGTGTACCTCTGCTTTGGGTTGGGTCTTGGTCTTCCTTCTCTGGTTTACGCTTTGGTTTCTCTCTGTCGGCTTTCCTGCTCGACGCGCTCTCTCTGGGTGGGCTTTGCGTTGGGTACCGTGTCTCTGCCCGTTTCATGGTGAAATGGCAGCGCCCTCCATCGGGCGTATAGAGCCGGGCCAGACTGGCAACACAACGGAGCGATGGGGAAAAGAGCAAACAATGCCAGGGTCACAGTGCCCTGTCCTTGCGTGATTGTCCTGTTGTGAAGCGTATCTATCCCAGCCGCGACCTCGCCCACGCGCTCAAATCTCTTCACTCACTCACACACACGCGCGCGCGCGCCTTGTCGGCTGTTTTTGGGGGGTGGCGGTGTAGATTGAACTCGACCCCAACAACTCGGGCAAAGATGGCTTATGACGGTGGTCGTGGTGGTGGCCGCGGACGCGGTGGCGGACGGTTAGTGAATGCACCATCTCATCTCTGTCGTGTTTTTCTTGCTTTCTCCCCCTCTCTCTATCGCTTCCTTTGAACCAAGCGGGGCATGAACCTGGCATGGTGGTCCTGGCTTTGTTGTTCTGGGTGCACACCTACCTGGCAGACCCCGAGTTGCACTTGTTCGCTTGCTCATCACGTGCGGCCCTGCTGTGCCTTTTGCATGCTTGTTTCTCGGCGTCTTGTTCATCACAGTGGTGGCGGCAGCTTCCGTGGCCGGTACGTATCTTGATCATCTCCCTTTGGATGGATGGGTCGTTTCAATTCGTTGTGGGCGCTCGTACTCGTTTTGAAGCATTTCAAGTGTGGACAATGCCGCTTCCCCTCACCAATTTGTCTCCCTTGTGTATTCGCTCCTACAGTGGTGGTCCCGGTGGCGGCCGTGGTGGCGGCCGTGGCGGCGGTTCTTTCAAGCGCGGCGGTGCTCCCGGTGGCCGTGGTGGCGGTCGCGGCGGTGGCCGTGGACGCGGTGGTCCCGGCGGCCGTGGCCGTGGTGGCCGCGGTGGTGGCCGTGGTGGCAGCAAGCAGGTCATTGTCGAGCCCCATCGTCACGGTGGTGTCTTCCTGGCCCGCGGCAAGGAGGATGCTTTGGTCACTCTCAACACGACCCCCGGCGAGTCAGTGTACGGCGAGAAGCGCATCTCTGTTGATGCCGCTGAGGGTCAGAAGGTCGAGTACCGTGTCTGGAACCCTTTCCGTTCCAAATTGGCCGCCGCCATCCTCGGTGGTGTCGACAGCATTCACATGGGCCCCGGCAGCAAGGTCCTTTACCTCGGTGCTGCCTCTGGCACCACCGTCTCTCACGTTGCGGATCTTGTCGGCAAGGTATGTTCCCCTCCGGTCGTGTCCCTCCGTAGCGTTAATGCCCGTGCGAGAATGTATTTGTCTGCCCAGTCTTATCTCATCAACTCACGCGCCAACCCATGTGCTCTCTACTCGTGTTCAGGACGGTCTCGTCTACGCCGTTGAGTTTTCTCACCGCTCCGGTCGCGACTTGATCAACATGGCCAAGAAGCGCACCAACGTTATCCCCATTATTGAGGATGCTCGTCACCCCCACAAGTACCGCATGCTCGTGCCCATGGTCGACTGCATCTTTGCTGATGTGGCCCAGCCCGATCAGACCCGTATCGTTGCTCTCAACGCGCACAACTTCCTCAAGAACCAAGGCCACTTTGTCATCTCCATCAAGGCCAGCTGTATCGACTCAACTGCCCCTGCTGAGGCCGTCTTCGCCGCGGAGGTGCAAAAAATGAAGGCTGAGAAGATGAAGCCCCTCGAGCAGCTTACCCTTGAGCCCTACGAGCGTGATCACGCCGTCGTCATTGGCACCTACAGGCCGCCCTCCAAGAACAAGAAGTAAACTGGCTTTTCTTTGCCGGCTTGCTGCTCTTGTTCCGTGCTTGTCCTACACGCCACCACTCGTGCTGTTGTGTCAATTGTCCTGTTGCCGCCTGGCCCGTGCTTTTTGCTCGCTTGTATCTCGATCCCTGTTGATGTTCTCTGTTGCTTTTGTCTTCTTGTCCCATGTCGTCAACGAAAAGCCGCTCTGCGCCAGTCGCAGGCCCACATAACTTCTTTTGCCCCTTCATCTCCCTCTTTTCCACTCCTGCTTCCGTTTGGCTAATTTTTGTTTGTGTTTTGTCAAGTCCATGTGGATGCTGTCTGGCATCCTCCGTGCTCTCCCTCCAAATCTCGGGAAGGGAAACGCGACTCCTCGTTAGTGAGAGGCTTCTTTCCCACCCTTTTTCCTTCATTCAGAACTTTTTTTTTTTTCTTGCCTGCTTTCCTCGTTATTTGTTTTGTTGGCGAGTCGCTTGGTTCGGCTGCTTGTCACGCAGCCCATCAAGGAGCATTCAGTCGCTTATTTGCAATTGCGATGAACAAACCTGGATCCAACTTCTTGCTGAAGATCCTTTCCAAAAGTGGCCACTGGCAACTCTTCCCTCGCTCTTCTCAGGCCTTTTGTGTCAACACATACACATACACACAAAGGGGGGGGGGAATCCAGATGTTGCTTTCAATTTGTACTATGTGTCATGCTCTGCATGTCAATCCAAACAGCATTCAAGCCCTTTGGCGTAGTCTAGAACCGCGCCCCCGTCCCAGTCGCACAAGGTGCAGCAGAGACATGGCAACGCTTGTGCACCGTCTCAAAGCAGAGCTCGCACTCATACGCAGCTTTGCCCAAACCCAAAATAAGCTTGTTGCAGACCGCGCACGAGGGCGGCAACGCGTGCCGGCTGGCACGGAAAAAATGCCCGTGCACAATGTGCAACTTTGAGCCGCTGGCATCCCCGCGATCGCCCACCTCACCCATGCGCTGTTGAACAAAATCCCGTGCCACTGCCACCCAACCAGACATGCGCGCGCAGGTGAGACAAGACACCACAAAAGACGTGACCTGGCCTGCAGCTTCAGGGCTTCTAGCCACAGACTCTCACCTGGATCGCCTGCTCGCATCAGCAGTACGCGAAGCAATGTGTGCGCACGCCGATCTAGAAGTGGGACCAAGGGTTGCTCCAACTCCATGTCTTGGTGTGCCGCAAAATCCATGTCCTCGAGTGTGCATGTAGCCTCGCCCAAGAACGTGCGCTTGCGACCGTCGATGTGCGCAACCTCCAAATGCACGGTGCCCCGTAGCTCAAACAGCTTAAACTCACAACTTGCGTTGAGCTTGGGATTGAGACCCTCCTGCACGGGCGCCAAGGCTTTCGTCTCCAGCTAAAGCCAAAGTACATTTGACAACAATCAAGCTTGTGAGAAACAAGGCCCAAAACCCACGATTAATAAGCGGGGCAGCCTCTAGCTTACATTGGTGGCGCCTGAGGCCAGACGCTGGCGCACCGTCACGTTCACCCCAACATTCATTTGGCCAACGCTGGCCACGGCCGGCAGATTACGGCAACCGTGCACCGTCACCACAATCTAAGATTCAAGCCACATGTGATAGCGTCAATAAGATGGGCGCGCGTAAGCACTGACAGGCACCTTTCGGGTACGCTGCATCCCAAAAGCCATGCCTTGTCGTTGAGATGCAGGCCGCCATCCAGCAACAGCCGAACTTGAAAGGTCATCGAGGCCTTGTGCGCCGTCTCAGGTGTTAACATTTTCTCTGCCTGATACCCATGGTACATCCACATAATCTCCTCCGTCGTGTGCTGGCCCAAGCGTAGTTGGTGACAAATACCATCATAACTCCGCGTCTACCCCAGAACAGGAGGCCCAGGGCCATTTAGTTTTTTTCCGTTTTCTTGAGATACCAACATGGCACTCGGGCTTTTGGCAGTGCACAAACCTCCAAGCGCACAGACGGCAGTCCTTCGCCGTCCGCCATGAAATATGCCTTCAAGATCTGCGCCAGGCAACAAAGGACATGACATGTTACCATTGTTAATTGGACAAATACAGTGACAAGCAGAGTACCAGGTGCCCCCACCTCGAGGAAGTTGAGCATGGTGGTCGACTGATGCATGGTCAAAATGCCTGTGCGAAAGCTACTAAGACGAGCCTGTACGACCATCAGGACCATGTCCCAAAGACGGGCCAAGACATGATTGAAGACATCCTGTACAATGCAAGGCGCAGCTGATTAGTTCCCCCATCAGGAAGCGTCCTGTGCTCGATTCGGATGGTTGTTGACAGCGAAAACCTACCTCGTATAGATTATCGGACATGATCTGAAAGGATTCATCCAGGTAGTCGAGCAGTGGCTCCATGGAAATGCGTAGCTTGTGCTCATCAAGAAGAACCTCCGTTTCGGAGCGGGAGCGCCCTCCTTTTGCGGTTGGCGGCTTGCTAGGCATGGCCAATGCTGGATCAGCGAGTCAAGGAAGGCAAACAAACTCCAATAAGAAAGAGCAAGCCCAGCCCAGAAGCGCCAGCCCATGCATGACACGGGACGCGACCTACGTCCGCGCGTGGTCTCATGCCGCCTCCAGGTAGCTCGCCTGCTCTCCCTCATCATGCGCTCCATGCGCCGCTTGACTTTCTGTTCACGCACAGGAGCAAGTGCGGCATCAGATTGTGCAGTCAAAGTCGAGTTTAGGAGAGAACAAGGTCAGATACAACAACTTCTCGGCCAAGACTAACATCCATTTTGCGATCACTCAAGCCTAAGATTTTGTCTTTGCCGAATTTGGCCTACAAAATTCCAGAGCAGGTCAAGCACGGGAGAAGCGACCATGAGATCGGGACGAGCGTCAAGCGTCTGCCGAGTCTGGTTCGGATCATCACGCAACGAGCCAGTACCTTGGTGGTGGAGCTGAATGTATCCGCCTTGAATACCTACAGGTACCGCAGCAACAGAACCGTCAAAGCAAGCCTTCCAAAAGTTAAGACAAAGAGTGTTGGTAGTGGGACAGACCTCAGCAAAGAGAGGCTTGGACTTGCGAAAACCCAATAGGAACCCCAAGTATTGGTCCACTGTCAAGCGAAACGTTGCTGTAATCCGATCCAGCAAGGGCAAGAGTCCCCTGCACAGGCAAATGCCAAGGGCAGCACAATTTAGAGATGAAGCACACGCCTACCAAAATGCAAGTCTGCTTTTAGATCTTACCCTGAAAGCTCTTCAGCAGCCAGTTTGAAGCTTTGCTTGACGGCTGCCACGGGGTCAATGGCAACATGTGGGCGGGCATCTGCAATGATCATTTTAAGAACCGATACCAGAGTTAGATATCATAAAAACAGAACAAACAAACCTCTGGAAAAAACAAACAAACAAAAAACGTACTGTTGGCATCTCGCTCCTGAAGGTCGTCGTCGTCGTCGTCAGTGCTGCCATCCGAGTCGTAGTTGTGAGAGGTGTTTGAAGCAGACGGCGCTTGTCCAACGCTACGAAATCCCAATCGCAATCCAATGGCGCGCAAGCCGGTGGGGCGGGGTGGCTCGCGAGCCAAGGGATGCAGCTCGTAGCTGCTTTCACCTTCCAGCTCGGCTTTGCGATTTGCCTGCTCGGTTTGGAGCTGGAAGAGATGCTTGAGAACACTCTCTTGCAAGTCCATGATACCATCGCTCAACTACATGCACAAGCCATCCAAAGTGTCACACAGGACCCTAACACATGCACATGCCAGCGCCTGGACTCGTGATTTGATGACTGCTCATTCATGGAAAAACCTACCTGGGCAATGTTGTTGATGGCAATGCAGAGCGCTGACGTCAGGGGCTGAAATTGGCTCGCAGCAGAGGGTGGTGGAAAGGGGGCGCGGAGGAGAGTTGAATAGGTGTGCACGGTTTGTACGACGACTTCGGCAAAGAGTTGGTAAAGAGTGCCGGCCGTGGCGAGATCTTCCCACCCGAGCTCAACCAGCTCGTACACGTTTTGAGTAAAAAAGGTCAAGAGATCCACGACGGCAGTTGAATGGAGGTGGCGGTCAGAGATGGGTTGACCAGGGTCCAGTTTGTAGGCTCGTTCGGCATACTTGACGCCCTGCTTGGCCAAATTCTGCAGCCATCGAGAAGCGTGGGGAAGGAACCAGGTGTAGAGATCGCCATAAACCTTGGCGCACTGGCCCGTGGTCAAACTTTCAATGTACCGTTTGCGGAAGGAGCGAATCTTCTTGAGGAGATCGAAAAGCTCAAAGGGAAGCGGAACACTGAAGGCTGGATCAAGGAGAAGCTCACGGCATTGGGCGGCGTGGGGCTGACACAGGCCCATCACGTTGAGCGCCACAATGTCGACGAGGGCGTGGCGCTGAAAGTAGTTGATGTAGAAGACGAGGTCGTATTTGAGTTCAGCGTCAATCATTTCGCACATGGTTTGGAGCTGGAGAACCGGCTGATCAACGTTTTCGGCTTGCGCGGAGGCCCAAATGAGTTTGTACATTTGAGATTTGCAGGTGAGGACGGCCTTGCTCACCACGTCAGCGACAGCCGGAGCCACGGGCCGAAAGTACTTGATGAGCCGGCAGGCTAGCACAAAGACTGAGAGGAAGTGATCAAAGATGGGCGGTACGATGCGACTGTGGGCTACAAATTGAAACTTGTACTGCTCCAGATCAGGCCGCATAAAGTCCACCAGATCCTCAAGTGACGTTGTGATGGAGCCGACGATGGCAGTGGTGAGACGGAGACAGGACATGGTTTCCTCGAGATCCGGGTGGGTGATGGGCTGGAAGGAGACTTGGTGGGTAAGGAAGGAGAGCAGGGCCACCATCTGCGGCCATTCGAGCTCGGCATGTGGGCTCTTGGTGAGGACGCGCACGTATTCACTCACAAGCAAAAGCTAAAGCAGTGGCAAGCAAGAGGGACGTAAGGGCATAATGAGTGACACCACCGATGCGCGTGCAATGGCAAACAAGACGGGTGAAGAATGAGGAGAATTGTGGCGGTGGAGGAGGGGAAAAAAAAAAAAGGCAAGGCACATACCATGACATTTGCGCTTTTCTCTGGTTTGAGTTTGCCAAGAACCGCATCCATGACCCGCTGCGCAGGGACGGCTATGCACCGAGCCTGCTGCATGTCCACGTCCTCGGCCTAAGGAT